AACATCTTTGATCGGCCACTAATCGAGACTGGGCCTATTTTGGAAGCATGGCCCATGAGAAAGACTTCGGGCGAAGACAGGAAGCCGGTCTCAGCTTATCCGATTGGAGACCCTGCTACTGATCCCAAATTTGCTCTTGCATCCGCGCTGCACATTGACGCCATATTCCCCGACTACATGGCTGGGCTCCCTGGTCTTGCTCGCCAAATTGCTGCCGAAGGAATTACGGCAGTACCTGAACAGCATCGGCAGCTATTCCCGCTTGACTTTGGTAACTTGAGGGGCCTCCCGCCTATCATGCTACTCCATGGTGCGAACGACTCAGCTGTACCGCTTGAGTGTAGCACAAGGGCCGCAGACAAGCTCGAGGAATCTGGAGTGGGCATTTTAACAGAGTTCCCAATTGACGCACAGCACGGTTTCGACGCAAGGGCGGGTGACGTCAACATCGAAACTTCAGCTGGGGATGCGGTGATTGCTGTAGAGTCTCTTAGGAAGGCGATTGGCTTCCTCGAACAATATGCAGTCAACTAGCACAGTAAGGTAGTACAGGGTCTCAACAGGAGCTTTAAGATGGGACACACTAGATCAGAATATAGCAGTAGGGTTTGAGACACCCGTACAACTTACGTCTGGGAGTTGAATAACCAGCTGTTTCAAAGCCATCTATCTATGGTCCAGAGAATGTCGATGACACACAGATGGCTGAAATCACAAGAACACCGATACAAGAAGTTAATTCTGTGTAGTTTGAAATCCATGCCTTACATGATCTTATGGACATAATGCTACTCTGCTTTACCAATGTGTCATTGAGCACAATGATGTTGGTAAAAGTGGTATTGCGTGACCATTTGCACTATTCGTCTATCTTATCGTCTATGAACACGACACAGCAATGGACCTTCTTTCTCTGAAATTCCAACACTAATGGTAGAGATCTCTTGCACAGGTCCCACCATCTCAAGGTCATAACATCTAAACGTTATCGCAACGAGCTTGAGCATGTTTGTCATGGCCATATTGCGTCCAATACACATACGATGGCCCATACTGAATGGGCTCAGGAAACGCCGGAGCTTCTCACCCTCTAGATCGCAAAATCTAGAAGGGTTAAAAACATCATGGTCCTTGCCCCAGATAGCAGGGTTATGATGAACAACGTGGTTTAGGCTGAAAACAACGGTCTGTTCATCCGTTGTAAGTGAGTGCATGTGCAATGGGAGAACGAAGAGACCTACGCCTTTGGGAATTACATGACCCTCAATCTCGAAGCCTTCCTTGGCAGTCACCTCACGCTCCAGTGGCATGGTGAAAACAGCGTTCATACGAAAGTTTTCATCTACACATGCCATAACGAACGGAAGTTTGGCCTCGAGGTCCTTAATGGGTACGATTGCCGACCCAACGTTTTCAACAACTGAATCGATCTCCTCAACCACTTTGGCATGAACAACCGGGTTTTGAAGGATATGAGAAAAGAGAAGAGTAAGAGTTCCAGACGTTGTATGAGAGCCAGCAACACTAAAGAGAAGTCAGACCGGCAGGGAAAAAGATACCCGAACAAGGCAAAGTCCAACGACTTACATAAACGCAAATGCCTCCGTTTGTATGTCTAGCTCCGTCAGCTTAGAGCCTGTCTCCGGGTCTCGAGCATTGATCAGACTGGTAATGAGATCCTTCCGAGCAGCACCAGGGTTGGCCATGCGGCTCCTGACACACTCGATGGTGAGGTTCTTGAGATTCTGTCGTGCCGCAAGAAGTCCTTGCACCCAAGGGATCGGAGTCCAGGGAGAGATGGCTTTGATGAATGGCATAAAGTTGGGGATCATGCCCATCAGGCAAGCAAGAAAGATGTGATCGTTAATGGGAGGCAGTTTCAAAGTATTCTTTTCGATCTGCGAGTCAAATTGATAGCGGAAGGCAAGATCTCCGAGCACGTCGAGAACAAAGAAGGCTATTAACTCTTTGAGATCGAAAGTCTCGTGTGTTCGGGAGTACTCGTCGAGGTTTTTGCGGAATTCAAGCATGTGGCTATCAATGTGCAGCTCCATTTCTTTGATCGACTGCAGCGAGAATGAGTGCGCCATTTGCCGTCGCCGCATTGAGTGAACCTTGGACAGTGAGTATATGACCTTTAATACTTGTGGTACTTTGCTGACTTCACCTCTTCGTTTCGAGTTCCAAACAAATTGGGGTTGAAAGAAGTGAAGCCGTCATAAAAAGCAGTCTTGGCCAAGGCTCGACCGGCCTTGTAGATCCTGGGTACGGCAGTCCCCTGTCTGAAAGAGAGCATATTGGGACCAATCCGGACAACATCACCGTACTTCTCGTGTAATTCGACGAGAGCGTCGGGTAGATGCAGACCCCATAGCTCCCGGAGTCTCCAGAAGTTGGTAAGTGACGCGAGAGGCGGACCTGGAAATCTTGCCAAAGGATGAACGTTACGGTAGTAGAATGTATAGAGACCAACGAGAACAACCAGAAAGACTGTAGTCGACGCAAAAGGGTGCGAAGTTGCAATTAGCAATAACTGGTAGACGTCCATGTTAGCTTCGATTTCTGTACTTTCCGATCATAAGGAACCCAGTCACTAGATTTACACGTACCTTTGGAAGGATAACGAGGCTTGATATATGTCTGGCTCAATTGCCTCGGCAGCATAGATACCCGCAAGTCCTTTCACATTCAAGCGTGGGCTGTCGAAATTCCGGAAATACGTGCTTCATGGGCACAGTAAATTCCGTTTGGGCCAATCAGGTTGCATGACCACCAAGCCGAAACAAAATTTCGAAATGTGCACTAACAAAAGTTGGGCATCGATTCCGTGTCAGCCAATCAAGTGGCTCTTCCTTCAACGGCGACGACGGAACACTAACGCGCTCGATGGGTGGATGCATGGTTCTGTGGACGCTATTTTGGTCGCTTTGAAATCTAGAGCCTACCCTAACATACCAAAGACGACTGACAATAGAAGAGTGTATTGCAAATACTTCATATAATATGCGGAATGGCTGATACGCTGTGAAGGATAAAGTAGGACTTGTTGTTATTAAATATATTTATCTGAAATGGCGACATCTCTGCTGCCGCACACGCCAGACTATGGTCACGCAGGAACAAGCCAAAATGCATCGTCCCCGCTCTCTGCATCATCTCGCTGGCCAGGAGATCGGAGATGCGAAAGCGTGGACGTCTGATCATGATATCGTCCAGGAGCAACAAGAGATAAACACGACAGGAACTAATGAAAATTGAAGAACCAACAAGCAACCGACGTCGTCCGTGTTCTTCATGGCGGTTCACTTCGATGCCTAAGCGTGATTGCATCCTATAATTGCGCTGCCTTTCCTATATAAGAAAGGAGCTTATAGGTAACTAGGATAGATAGACTTATGATGAGATAGTTGCTATGATTTGTATTACTGCGACGTACTCAAAAGGCTGATTGGAATAGTTGATTAAGGACTAGTGACTTTAGTTCTATCTACACTTTCTCTTTCTGAGTCCTTATTCTATGATTCAAAATACGCCTCGATCCTGCTCATGCATCTCTCCCTGTTGTACCTCTCCGTGAAAACTCCTTCTTCACAGTATATCTGGGCCAGTGGATTATCCGGGGAAGTAAAATGGACATGTTTACGGTCCACGGCAGTCTACGTCGATTGATACCATAATTAGTATGTGTGGGAAGATGGAAACAAACGGTGGCGTCCGTGCAGAGACATCAATATCGACGCACCATTCTGAAGCTCCTGAACTTGTCCTTAGCCATGACGAAGAACTCTTGGAACGTGTACGTGGCGGACCTGCGTCACTCTTCTTCGTCTGGTGCGAACTTAGTTGAGATGGAATCAGCCATGTATTCAACAGTAGCTGTCGCCTATACCCTGAGCTTAGGGTTTCGTATTATAAGGTGTTTGCGATGGATGAGAATACCTATGCTTGGTAGGTATATGAATAGTGCTGGGACGACAACGAAAACCGCCTTAGTCTATGTGATTCCGACTTTTATATTAACATCTCTTGCCGAACTATCACTATAAGGACACGTCCCCCATTATGTCGAGTGGTTGTGTATCGCTCCAACAGGATTGTTGTGCCGAGGAAAGAGAAGGTGGACGGGGGCGGATATGCGAGAGACCTAGATATACCTATCATATAGAGCTAGGCAGTACCTTGTGGAAGGGCACAGAACCCAGTCCAAGTTAGGTAAGAGCATAAGGAAACTTATAGTAGACACTCCTCGTTGCGAGTTATATCTATGCTGGTAGTAGAAGTGTTGCTCTCCACACTCTAATGGATCAGAACGTAGAGTAGAAGCGAAACAACAGACCAAAACAGGGATTTCTCGCCGACGGAAAGGCCCGTGATAAAACGGACTGGATATCCGAGATCAGGGCAAAAGGGTTGCGTGGGTAAAAGCTACAAAAGTTGCGACCCGCCCAGGATTCGAACCCGGACCTTCCCCTTAGCTAGAGGGGAGCTCTGCCAATTAAGCTGGCAGGCCTCTCGTCCCAACGGATGGCATCTCTACAACGTTTCACGCATACAAGGGATGCGTAGCTGTAATGTCGCGCGCGCGACGGTCCTTTTGGGCATACATATGAACCGCGCGCGCCCACGCAGAAGGGTAATGCAGAAACAAACAAGCGAAGCTCACGGTGAAAAAAGAGGCCCACCCGGGACTCGAACCCGGATCTTGTCCTTAGCTAGAGGAGTGCTCGACCGATTAAGCTGATAGGCCCTCAACTGGTGATTCCATCTCTCACCGTTGTCATACTTGGCCTTTTCGACGTACGTCCAGCTTGACGAGGGGGGCGGACGAGTCACGGGGTAGGTGAGGAGCGACGGATCACAGCTGTCGTAGCAGGGTCAGCCGGACGCTGTCGTTGTACGCTCCCGATGTGGGGCCGGCCCGTCGTGCGGGACCACGGCGGCACCAGGCGGGGCGACCGGGCGGGGCACCCGGGCGGGCAAGACAAACAAGGAAAGATGAACGACCCCACCCGGATTCGAACCTGGATCTTCTCCTTAGCTAGAGGAGCGCTCTACCACCAAGCTACGAGGCCTCTCAACTGGTGTTGGGAATGAGGGTCATATCGTTAGCAATAAAGCCTAGCGGCGGATAGCGATGTGATGAGCGAGACGTTAGCAACGGGCGAAAGGACGCTTAGCCGTTGATGTGTTTAGTGCGTACATGGTGCGCTCAGCAGCCAGGTCCTTAGGCATAGATCTATAGGTAATAGGTGATGGGATAGGGAGCTAGATATGTAGCTTATATATCACTGAAGCAGGTTAGAGTGGAATGAGGAAGCTTTACTTCAGGCGAGTGGGTATAGTAGTCTTTGTGGACGTAGTGATCTTATCCGTCACGTAAACTCTGCATTATTCATCATGAGATCGTCTTAACCAGGGGAACGCTTCCGACTCTTCTAATCTATCCAACGATAACCGCATAGCCTCAATCTCCTCAGGGCCATTTGCGTAAAACCTTTGGTTAAGAAATGTTGTCGAGGAGCGTGAACGAAGATAAAACCCATCTACCATGCAGTCCCCTAGGTCTATTGCCTCCAACCTGAGGCTACGCTGGAGACTCCTGAGGAGCGAGGACCACGTCTTTCGCCCCCCTCCGGTGATATCAACAGACTCGAGAGTAAGCTCCCGGAGTGTGTCCCGATGCCCCTCCAGCAATATCATGAGCTCGTCCCTCGTGCAGTCGACGAATTCGACACGGAGGCTCCGGAGGCCGGGGATTCGAAGATCCTCGGAAAGCCTTGGAAACTGCTGCCTTTCGTCGCGGGGATTGAAGTGTAAGGCCAAGTTGGTCAGCGTGGGAAAAAGACGGAGGAAGCCGCAGAACTCTGGACACCAATCGGAATCCGCAGTCTGGATTGGGTCGGTGTTTGAAACCAGTTTCTTCACACCCTTATCAAACGTGTTCTCATGGCTGTTTGGGTTGACCACAAGTAGCAGGGTTTTGATAGGAGCAAGCCGATTCCTCAAAGTGTCTGCAGACACAGGGATCGTTGATAGCATGCGTGGGGTGACAGAGGTACAGCCCGTCTTCAGATCGCCAAACTGAAGATAGAGTCTCTCTACAGCATGGCGACTACGCAGCAGTCCTATAAACAGGGCTCTGATCAACGTGGTGGCAAAGACCATACTCTGGGCCTGGAAGGGAGTGACGAAGCGGTTCGGAAACGTGCCAATGCGGCGACCAAGTTGAAGTGCCCCCCAGGGACGGACGTTATCGTCAATGCCGACAGCTTTGCAACGAGGGAGGTTGGACAGTGCCTCGACCAAGTCCCTGATCCAACCTCCCTTTGTCAGAAGGAAGTCCCTGTAGCCACCCCACTCAGCCCTATACCTCTCAATGACAGCCTCGTAACTGTCATCGCCAAGTGACAAAGTCTCACCGTCGCCAAGCCTAATGCAATCATATTCATCGTTAATCCCACACATCTCATAGTCCGCTCGGCTCATGTAATCCGGAGGCGCGACCAGGTGATCCGTGGTGAGTTCGACGACTTGCACCGCGTAGCGGAGAACTGGATGGCGGGAGATCTCAACCAGGTTCTGGAGGCTCTGACGTTCAAGCATGATATAGCGTGTGCGAAAGAAACGGTCCTGGAAAGGTCCAGATGTCTTGTCAGCCAGAGCCCGGCAGGCGGAGCGTAAGCTTAGCAGGTCGAGCGACTCGAGGTATTCTGATATACACCCAACAGTCTCTGCGGGAAGATTTGTGAGCCGGCCTTGCGCCATTCTGAGATGGACTGTTGAGGCGAATTGGGAAACTGAGGTTGTGGAGTTGAAGCTTTGTCGCTAGACATGTGACAGATCATCAGTATGGCCACTAGCAGCATAATGAATTTGGGATAAAGTTGGTTGTATTGCTTAGTGTAATCTGCTGGTCCTGCAGTAGATCTATATAAACGA